CTTCAGGACCCGCGGATGGATCTCATCGGGCCCCATGGACTTGTGCACCTTCAGATCTTCTACATACTTTTGTTTACCTCTTGGAAGAGACGTAGGTATTAGAAATTCTGTGTCCTCAGCTTTGAGAGACATACACAGAGATCTTTCTTTATGCACTATTCACTTGGTCTCCTTTAAAGAGAATACAAACATAAGAACAGTTTAAAAGTTTGTGTTAGGGCATGGGAATGCGTCTTTCTTCTACATACTTTTGTTTACCTCTTGGAAGAGACGTAGGTATTAGAAATTCTGTGTCCTCAGCTTTGAGAGACATACACAGAGATCTTTCTTTATGCACTATTCACTTGGTCTCCTTTAAAGAGAATACAAACATAAGAACAGTTTAAAAGTTTGTGTTAGGGCATGGGAATGCGTCTTTTGGCATACAGGTTGTTTTCCTGTTTTGTTGAAATAAGGATCTGGCTTCTTTTCTGGTTCCTGCAGCTGATTGAAAGATTGAACTGCTTTTCCTTTGCTTAGCTGAGAAAATAATTTTCTCTTAGTGCTGTGTTTCCTCTGTCTGTTGTCAGCTCCACAAGACAGATTGTATGCACTGGATTTGCAGATTGCATTTCTTTAAAATATATTGTTTAGCTGCCTCTAGTCATACTTCTGCTTCTCTTACAGCAGTCATCTGCTCTGCCCGCTCACCCAGTGTTACCATTTGGGTAGCAGAGATTTCTTTCCAGCAGCTTCTACCATCTGGAACCGCATTCTTTTATCTCCCTAGTTCATTAGGTCTCCATAGCTTTTAAAATAATTTCTGAAATTACAACTTTTTTCTTTCACCTGTTACTCCTCAGTGTTTGACTCTGTGACTGGATGCTTAATTCAGTAGGAAATGCCCTGACTCCGCTGTTTTCCGCGAGATTTTTATCATATGAAGTCAGGAAAATGCTTTGAGGCACAGCTTGATGAAACACTCTATAAAATAAAATATTATTAGAAAGTTTCAGAAGGACTGAAACCTATAACCCCATAACTACCTTCTCCCTATTGAGGAAAGAATATTGCCAGCCTCTGTTTTTGTAGCTTATAGTAAAAGAGTTTCCGCCAGCATAGTGCTGCTGTTTCACTCGCCTGTGCGTGTGTACATACAAAATTGTCACAGAGTCGCAGCATGGCTGAGGCACCTCTGGAGACTGCTCCATCCAACCCCACTGCTCAAGCAGGGTCAGCCAGAGCCGGGTGCTGTGGGCTGTCTCTGGTCAGGTTTGGAATATGCCAAAGACAGATGGAGGTTGCACAACTTGTCTGGGCAACCTGTTGCAAAGTTGGACCACATAAGTACACTCTCTGTCAGGATGCTTTTCTCAATCCTCAGTACCATTCCCATGTAGTCTGGAGCACGCTTAACAGTTTGACATTTTGCATTTTCCCATTTTCCTGGGAAAGCTAAGAGAGCACAGCTTCTAGAATTGAACATCACAACCTGGATTTCTTAACTTGCCCTAGCTCCAAAAGCTTTTAACAAAGTTGTTGCTGCTTTATTGTTACAGATAAAGTAATTTTGTAAGATGTATCATTTGGATGTCTGTGGTGCTCTGCTGCTCCCTCTGTATCGATCTCTTAAAATGCTTGAAAATGTGGAGTTTATGTTTGTTCATTATCCAGAGGTCTTAACAGCTTCTGGCTCTGTGGAAACTAGTGGGGTGGAGTGCTGAGATGCACTTGGTACTCTGAGATAGAATAAGATTATCATCCTCAGAAATAATGGAGAGAAAATGAAAAAAACAATGTCTCCTGTCATAGAAGTATGGATGCTACAGTACAAAAATCAGTTCTTAACGATGGATTAATATTAGCTATCCTGAGTGCTTAAAGAAGGGGACAACCTGCTGAGGTAAGGTCAATAAAAAATCCTTGAATAAACCAGTTAGAGAACTGACTTTTATTCTGAATTTAGTGATAAACCTTAGTTTGTAGATCAGATAGCTGTTCGGCACATTATTTTTCTTTCAAAGTGCACTAGTAATGGTGAAATACTGGATTTGCAGACTTTGCTGAAAGAGTTGCTACTAGACCTGGAAGAGGCCAGTAGTTGTCTGTCTTGCAGAGAAAGTATCCTAATAGATGGAGAACTGAGGGAGAACCACTTAGTCCCACTTTCCCAACCTATAGTAATTCATTTATTATGTATAACATATGGTTTACTGCTGTTGAGCGATCCAAGAGCATCTACAGTAACAGTTATGATAAAGAAGTATTTTATATGCTTCGTATTGAACTTTAGGTAAGGTGGAACTTTGTAAGTGGTTTAGTTTCAGTTGGTTTTGTTCTCAAACATCTTCAAGTGTTGCAGGTGTTTTTTAAACAGCTTGTGATTTCCATGTGTTATCCCTTTTTTTGTTGGCTATGTCAACTGTAGGGATGATCTAATGTGCTTTTTTCATTCACGTTGGTTGGTAGTAAATATAAATACAGACAGTGATAAATGATTCCTTTTGATATTTTTCAATTTATTCGAAGTAGGGGAGCCTGGCAGTCTAGGGAAACATTATGTTGCAAATAATCCTCTAAAAGGAGTGAAAAAGTGTTTTTCATGCGTTACAAAATATAGCAAGTAGTCAAATTAAACAAATATATCCACTCTAATGATACCTCAAAACTGTGTATCAGAGGAGCCTGCTATCTTGGGTAGAGAAATCTGCTTAAAATTTTGAATCTGGTGTATTGAGATGGTTATTGCTTTTCTTGATTTTTCTTTTTCTTCCTTGCAATGCAAGGACAAATTTCTCACCTTGTTAAAGTCAATGTGAGTTTTGTCTTTGACTTAATTGGTGCCAGGATTTCATCCCTAGCCTGCGTTACTTATGACTCTTCCGCATAGGTAAGATTTTACATTTGCTATTAATTATGAGTCTGTCTTTATTCATCTGAGCGACTAAATAATGAGAAAGGTGACAGGTATATTGATTTTCCTTTCATTTTACGTCTTCAGGGTGGGAGTCTTTGGCTTAGTGGATAAATTTCCGTACATGATGAGTAGTCTCTAGCTTTTACAACACCCCTTGGTTGAGCTGACAGAAGTGGTTTTGATGTAGCAACTTACTGTTGGAAAATGCTGATTGAGCTGAATGAAAACACTCAGTGGGAACATGCCGGTGTGATGAGATTTTCATGGGAAAGCAGGCAGACTTCCACCCTGGCCAGCCAGCTATTTGCTGGCCAGCTTTGCCTACAGGTGTTTCTGAAAATTTATGTCCTACATGAAAATTCTTGTTTCTGAATTTTAGTTCCAGTTTGGAGGAAGAAAAGAACGATTCAGAAATGTGGAAGCTTTGGGGGATCTCAGTTGTCTTATCTCTAGAAACCCTTCCATGTAGTAACATTGCAGCTTTCTAATAGGTTACTGCTGTTAGTGCTGGAGTAGCAAAAGAGATGTTCAGGAAGTGAGAACACTTGCTTTTTCCATTCTTAACCAGGAATTGCTGTTGTCGTGTCCCATTCATGTCTCGTAGTCATGTTATTTTAGACATGAATCCTTTGTATGAATGATTTTCTGAGAAGCCTCTTAGGTATGTTAAAACTTACTTAATTTTTTGCATCCTCTATAGCAGACATATAACTCTCTTAAACATTCTTTGGGCATAGGATCCAAAATAAATGTTTTTACTCTGTTTTGCACTCTGTTCTGAACACTCAGTGGTATTTTATGCTTTAATTCAATTCCTTCTGGTTAATCATGCTTCATGCATTCTTTAGTCACAGTATCAAGTAGAGTGGCGATTGAGGGTCACTTCTGAAAATCCAAAGTGGTAATTGATGGTAATTTGAATCTTCACTTAAGTGACTGTTGAAAGGTCTTGGAGAGAAAAAAGGGGAAGCGTATGTCTCAAATGTTTTTTTCTTGTGTGTGTTTCGTGGGGTAGGAGAAACAGGTTATATTTTCAGAAGACTGTTGTATAACCTTGTAGTCTTTTTTTTTCTTTTTTTTTATTATTATTTGTCCTTCTGTGGTGGCATCTGTCCATCTTTGCTGATCATAAGGACAATAAAAAAGTTCCCAGTTGAATATCTGAAGCAATCTCCTTGGCAGATGAGAATCTGGACATGCGATTGTGTTTCCAGTCAGCTAACTTAACTTTCTGAGTTAGTATCCTGCAGGTTCTGAAGAAGGCTAAACAAAAACAAAACCATGCAGGGGAAACTGCTGCATGCATGTGACCAAGAACAGATGAGTTTGGGACACCAGAAATCCTGTAGGTCTCTTGTATTTGATAGATCACTTTCCCTCTAAATAGCTGTTAGACGTGACAGTCCACTTAGTGCACTAAAAAGGAGAGGTACATCATTTGCTATCTTCTGATCATATACAAGTATGTGTCTTCTCCCCTAGGGTAGGATTTTGGTTCCTGGTCATTTTAAAATGTAAGGCATTTTTTCTTTATGACTTTGGACTTTTCATCAGGACTTTTCATCCTGGCTTTGGAATCAGGATTTCACTTATAGCGACCGCATTGTTCAAACAAGCTAATATTCAGGCAAAACAGGGGATGTATCAAAGATTTAATCTAGGCTAGTTTCAAAATACTATCAAATAGCCTTTTAAGTTAGACAAGATGAACACCTTGTGCTTTGTTATTCTAGGAAAAAAAAGGATATGTAGTATGTATGTATATATAGTATGTATGTATATATGTATATATAGTATGTATTTATATTTACTACCATGTATGTATATATAGTATGTATGTAGTTCCACTGCAACAAGTGCAGTGCAGTGCTTGAGCAAGAAGAGTAAGCTTGTGAATTTTTTAGGAGACATATATTAGGTAGAAAAGTGGTGGGAAAGTAACACTGCTCTCAAATATAGCCTCTACTCTCATTACGTTAGTGTGTTATTTTTTTTAAGTGAAAAGATGATTATAATATGTAATTTCAGTTAATACAATGAAACATCTTTGTTTCACCTGCGGTGTTGAGACTAATCACAGTATTGTTTTTGCTTCCTTTTACAGGTTGCCTTTTTGAAGATGTGAAGAATGCAGATACCCATCTTGAAAACTATTCTCAAATTCATTTTCAGCAGAAGCGTACAGTTAACTTCCAATGGTGTGACTTCTAGAAAAAAATCCACTGGCAATACAAAACAAAATGTGGGTGTGGTGTGTTATTCTTCATATCTGGATGTGTTTCAAAACCAAAGACAGAGTTAATTTTTGCATCCAGTACATTCTTAGATGTCATTCTAAGAGTCACTTACCTGTCACTCCTGTGACATCCAGCTGGGATGACTGTTACGATCTCTTCATTGCCAAAAAGAAATTATCTATCTAACTTAGTACTACCTTTATCAGGCAGTGTTTGATAGTGACCTATATGTCCTTAGGAAAATTCACAACTGGTAGCAAAGAGAGGTTTGAAAATATTTAACATCATGGATACTAATGTAAGTTCTTTACTTTCTTTGTTCTGGTAAAGTTAGAGGTCCAACTTTAAAATATGAAATCTGTTTTTTGTCAGACTTACATGTCTATCATGTATATTGTTTCCACGTTAAGGTTTACCTTCCTTCTTGAGAGAGAAGGAAGACAGTTTCTGTATTTTTTAAAATTGATAATGTTTTGGAGAATCAAGGTTTTATGGTTACTTGGAGTAATTATTCCTTCAACTTCACAAAAGAGCATGTGTGTGAAGGCTGACCTTGCAGAAACTGCTGGAGGTGAAAGATACTTGTAGCAAGTCAATACAGCTACTCTAAATTGTCCTTCTCTGTTGTGGATGCTCAGCTGCCTTCCAGGGGAGCGGTAGCACATTTCCGTGGAAGACAGAAGCTGTTACCATTTTTTGTTGCTCACTTAGTTGACAGCAATTTTTGCCTTCCCTTGTCCAGGGGAACAGGATGGTATAAGTGCATAGGCTAAGGAGCAGAAAAGATGCCTCCTGGCATTTTTGCCTCGATTTCTGCTCGTTGGGATGGACTGCTCTTGAGCTAGAAGGAAGTGATCCTTTAATATCAGCCATCTCTCTTGGACCCCTCATCCCTCCAGGGTCTTATCCCGTATCTGCCTCGCTCATCTGCAGTTTTCCTTAAACAACTGCTCTTGGCAAATCAGTCAGGTACTGGAATGGTTCATCTGACCTAGTGTGACAATTCTTGCGTTCTCAAAATGTATACAAAAAGGTATCCAAACAGAAAGAAAAAAAGGAGAGAGCCTGTTTATGTAGGCTGCCTTTTTCAAAGTCCATCTTTAAACTCTTAAAAAAAAAAAGATACTACCTTGTTGGAAAACAGCTATATTTTGGGAGAATGGATTCTGGAGGAAATATTCTTGTTAGAGGAGTTCTTTGAAAATTCCTGAATTTCAAGGAAAGTTAACATGCCCTTTACTCTTGAAATTGTCATAATGTAGGAAGTGACCCTGCAAAGTGTTGGACACCTTCTCTGGGTTTTACACATCCAAAGACAAGTAGCTGAGGCCTCCCAGCACCCAGTCTGGATATCATCTTATTTTTCTGTTATTATTTTAGTTTTCAGTGTTGAAGGGAGAAACAAATATTCTGAGGTTTGTATTCAGGAACTAAATTATCTAGCTCCAACGTATTTTGTCTATACACCAATGTTTAGTCGTTTTATGAATAAAATATATTTTCTAAATCAGTTTACTGTTTGTTCTGCTTAATTTCTGTGGCAGTTTCAGCTTCCCAGAATATGACTGAGCAATTTGCAGATGGAAGACATTCGTATCACACAGAAATACTTCAACTTTAAAATCTTTTCCATCCTATTTAAATGACCCCTGTTACGGTTTTGCATGTATGGAGCAATCTTAGGTCAGAGAATATTTATGCTTTTGTCATGTCCTGCCTCATTTGGTATTGTGACCATAAAGAGTTCATCTGCCTCTGGTAACATACATGCTTCCAGAATGATGAGTGCAGACATTACACTGGGAGTATTTTTGGGGGGAAAAAACCCTTCCAGAGATGAAGGACAAGTCAAGCCCATCCTGCTTGGTCTGTCACTCACCTGTAGGAGCTAATGGCTCCAGTCATGCTACTGCGATGTCAGTGCTGCAGCTGGCTCAGGAAGCAAATCCTGAGAGAGTGCTAAGCCCAGCGTGTACACTTAAAACATTAAACTTTTCAGGAGCTTGCCCTCTCTCTCTGTATGCTTTTCATTGTTCTTTTTTACCCTATACATTGGTGAACTGGGTCTGGCTGGGGTGGAGTTAATGTTCTTTATAGCAGCCCGTATGGTGCTGTGGTTTGGATTTGTGGCTCCAACAGTGCTGGTAGCACACTAATGTCTTGACTATAGCTGAACCTTCTCTTTTATTTCCTACTCCGCCCCTACCTCCCCCCAGTGAATAGACTGAGGGTGGGCATGAAGTTAGGAGGGGAAGACACAGCGGGGACAGCTGACCTGAATTGGCCAGAGCGATATTCTATACCATACAGCATCATGCACAGCAGTAAAAACTGGGGGTAGAGGAAGAAAGGGGGAGAGGGGTGTCTTCCAGGGTGGTGGTTGCTCAGAGAATAGCTGGGCATCGGTCTGCTTGTGGGAGGTGACGAGCTATTGCCTTTGCATCACTTGTTTTCGGGGGGGGCGGGTCTGTCCTTCACTTATTAAACTGTCTTTCTCTTGACCCACAAGTTTTCTTGCTTTTGCTCTTCCTTTTGTCTGCCCCGTCATGCTGGTGGAAGAATGGGGTGGGGGTGGGGGGTGGTGAGTGAGCAGCTGGGTGGGTGTTTAGCTGCTGGCCAGGGTCAAATCCACCACAATTGGCAGCAGAAGTTGTGAAGTCCCCAAAAGAAAAAGAATAAATCTTTGTTCCAGCTGCCCTCCCATTTGGGGACATTTTCCTTCCCCAGGTTCCCAATGGCCACAATTGCCTGTCTGTGTCTATACGAGGGGCAGGGCAATTTGACACGCCTAGTCTCATGTTTCCCTTTCCTTGGTTCTAGCTCTGAGACCTCCATTAACATTTAACCATTGACGTTATCTGGAAAATATCAGACCACATATGATAATATATAAATGCCTTGGACAGGTTTCCATTTGAAAATAGATTTCCTTGGCCATGTTCAGAAAAATGTTTTTGATACTTTCCCAGGTACCAGGCAATACATTATTCAGAACTCCTGTTTCTGAAGACAACTTTCTTGCCTTTTTTTTTCCCCTCCTATTTCTTATGTGATCTTTCCTACTGAGCCAGTAGTGGATTTGAGGTGTGACAGCTTTATTTGACACTTTCTTGCATTCTAACTGCTTTATAAAAGCGAAACTTGGCCATTTTTTCAGGATTATCTTAGCAGTGAACCATAGGCTCTCGTAAACAATGGACTTGGGTTCAGAAAACCTGTTGAGTTCCCCCCAATGCTCCTTCCTTGATCTTTGTCTATCACTGCTCTTGCCTCCATTTCTCTGTTGAATAGCATGATGCCATTTGCTTGTTGACATTAGCATTTTGAAAAGCTGTGCAAGTACAAAGTACAATTAGTTACTGTGTTATTTTCTTAGCATCCAGAGTAAGTGGTACATTTTAGTCTAGCCTAAATACCGTGTTTGTATACATCCCTAATAGAAAGCTTGTTTAGTTTTGAAGTGTGCAGACAGTATCTCCGTGCAGATGGAAAAGCGTGCACCAAGATAGGAGTTGGCCTAGAATCTGTGTTAGAAAATGTTTGATCCTTCTTATCGCTTGCCCTCTCTCCCCAGCATTTTTTATCTGTTACAGTCTGCATTTTTCACTGCAGAAAGTGCCTTAATTTTTGCTTTCTGTAGTGCCAAGCACAGTGTTAGTCGTGAAGTAATAATAATAAATTAGCAATGACGTTAAGAAGTCCTCAACTCACATTAACTGAGATAGATGTGCATCCTTTCCTAATGTGCAGTTTCCAAATAGTGTATGGCAACAAGAAGATATTAAAAATGTCAGCTTTAATTCTAATATGCTATCAGGTTATAAAGATGGCTATTGCTGTGGTGCAGAAAACATGCCTATCTGTCAGACCAGTACTGTTCTCTCCATTAGCAACAGCAGACAACAATATTGTTTCTGTCATTAACAGGTCACAGGGTGATTATATTAGTGTAGGGCTTGTTACTTCTTTTGAACGAGTTTGACCATTTAACTAACCATTGGGATAGTTAAATTGGCATACCGAATTGAGTCCCAATGGGGTTATTTTAATTCCAAAATTAGGGTGGCTTTTTCGCTTAGTTTAAATCCCCGCTAGAGTACGTTAGGTTAAACTGAATAATAATAACAAATGGGTTGATCGGGGAGCTATACTGGTATTACCCTGTGAGTTGAAGGGCAAGTTCTAGCTTACCTCCATTTTACTTTTCTATGTAGAGAAACTTTTATATATAAGGAGCAATTTCAATTAAAATTTACAATAGATGTTTCTGCACTCAAGCATTCTGGGTTTAAATGCAAATGCTTTTCAGTAATTTTCTTTCTGTTTTGTTGCCTTCATTTTCGTTCCTCCAGAACATCACTTTCTGGTTTCAATTTTAGACTTTGCATCCTTTCATGCCTCTCCTAGCCAACTGTGCTCCATTGTGCAGCGGGAGAGATATGACTTAGTCGCCATCACAGAAACATGGTGGGGTGACTCTCACGATTGGAGTGCTGCAATGGATGGCTATAGACTCTTCAGAAGGGACAGGTGAGGAAGGAGAGGCGGCGGGGTGGCCCTGTATGTTAGGGAGTGTTTCGATTGTCTAGAGCTCAATGATTGTGATGATGATACGGTTGAGTGTTTATGGGTAAGGATGAGGGGGAAGGCCAACGAGGCAGATATCCTGCTGGGAGTCTGTTATAGACCACCCAACCAGGATGAAGAGGCAGATGAAGCGTTCTACAAGC